GGAGGAGGAGGAGGAGGAGGATGAGGAGGATAATGATGAGGAGGATGAGGACAATGAGGATTTAGGAGAGGGGAGGGGACGGAGGTAGGGTTGGAGGAGGAGGAGGATGAGGATGAGGAGGAGGAGGTGGAGGAGGAAATGGTGGAGGAGGAGGGGGGGGGATGAGGAGGAGAATGTTTCTCCCCGGTGTGCAAACTTTCCTCCCCGAGCTTCTGGAGTACCAGCTTCGCAACCAGGTGTGTAGAGGAGCGGTCCGAGAGCATCGAAGGACCGCCGAAGGCTTCCGAAAACCTCCCCGAACCAGTCGACAGCCGCAAATCGCAAAGGCCGTCCTCTCCTCCTCCGTGTCCCCTGAGGTAGTCGCGATGGCCTGTAACATCCCCGCTGTGAAAAGGCAGCGGATCTTCCAATTGAGCTACAACGCTGCGGACGCGGCCAACTCTAGGTGCTGGCACAGGAAGCGTGTTAGTGTTCGTCGTCGTGTTCGTGCTTGTCGTCGCCGCCGCCGCCGCCGCCGCCGCCGCCGCCGCCGCCGCCGCCGCCGCCGTCGTCGTCGTCGTCGTCGTCGTCGTCGTCGTCGTCGTCGTCGTCGTCGTCGTCGTCGTCGTCGTCGTCGTCGTCGTCGTCGTCGTCGGCGTCGGCGTCGTCGTCGTCGTCGGCGGCCGAGGACGGCCTCCCGGGCGAGAGCCTCCGCAGACCCAGACCTCCGAGAGAGACGCCCCGGGGCACTCCTCGGCCGGCCCGCCCCGCGCCGAGGAGATCATGGAGGTCATGAAGGGGCTGCGGACCTGCGGCTCGGACGAGGTCGGCGGCGGCCCTCGCGCGCCCGCCGGGCCACGTGAGCTGCCTCTGCCTCTGCGCCGCCGCCGCCGTCGCCGTCGCCGTCGCCGTCGCTGTCGTCGTCGTCGCCGTCGTCGTCGTCGTCGTCGTCGTCGTCGTCGTCGTCGTCGTCGTCGTCGTCGTCGTCGTCGTCGTCGTCGCCGACGCCGCCGCCGCCGCCGCCGCCGCCGCCGCTGCCGCTGCCGTCGTCGTCGTCGTCGTCGTCGTCGTCGTCGTCGTCGTCGTCGTCGTCGTCGTCGTCGTCGTCGTCGGTCGACATCGTCGTCGACGTCGACGTCGTCGTCGTCGTCGTCGTCCACGTCGTCGTCGTTGTCGTGTTCGTGTTCGTCGTCGTGTTCGTGCTCGTCGTCGTCGTCGTCGTCCTCTTTCCTCCTCCTCCCTCCTCCTCCTCCTCCTCCTCCTTCTTCCTCGCTCCTTGCTCCCCTCCTCTTCCTCCCCTCCTCCCCTCCTCCTCCCCTCCTCTCCCTCCTCTTCCGCTCGCCCTCCTTCCTCTCCCCTCCCTTTGCTTTCCTTCCCACCGCCCTGCTCTCTTGCTCCGCCCTACCTGCCCCCCCCGCGGGCGCTCGCGCCCGGGGGCGGCGTGTTCTCCCTCGGCTGCTCCTCCGCTTCCTTTGCTGCCTCCGCCTCCGCCTCCTCCTGCTCCTCCTGCTGCTGCTGCTGCTCCTCCTCTTCATCCTCCTCCTTGGTTGGTCGTTGGTCGGTCGACAGGGGCTCCGCTTGCTGCACGTGCAGGGACGAGCGGCTAGGGGCCAATCGCTGTCCGCTCCTCAACACCCAACAAGGCCCTCAGGTGTGTGGATGCCCTCCTCCTGTTCTCCTTCGCCTCGCGCTCTGTCCTCCTCCTCCTCCTCCTCCTCCTCCTCCTCCTCCTCCTCCTCCCCCTCTTCCTCCTTTTCTCATCCTTTTCTCCTCCTTTTCCTCTCGTCCTCCTCCTCCTCACCCTCCTCCTCTTCCTTGTCTCCCTCCCCCACCTCCCTCGGCCCAGCTCTCTTGGCGCCCTCGGAGGGTCCTGGGGCATTCCTCGGGGCTTCTCTTGGAGCCCTTCCGGGCCCCCTCTTGGGCTCCCCCCCTTGCGCCCTCCTCGCTGGAGGTCGTGAAGGAGGGTTCCGCGTTGCCGGACCCGTGCGTGTACTTCAAGACGGACCTCACGTCGCGCGAGGCGGAGGCGCGTCGCTGCTGCCGTCGTCATCGGCGTCGTCGTCGTCGTCGTCGTCGTTGCAGGGGGAGGAGGAAACATTGAAGGGGAGGAAAGAGACACTGCTACGCGCCAGGAGGGGGAGGGAGGTGGAAAGGGCGGGGGAAAGCGATGAGGAGGAGGAGGAGGGGGCGGAGGAGGAGGAGGAGCAGGCCGAGAGGGAGGATGAGGACGACGACCTTGGGGACGACGTTGACGAGACGACGTTGACGAGACGACCGTGATAGTGGGGACGACGAGGGTTGCCGCGACGCCGACAACGGTGTGCCATCGTTGTCGTGTCGCTCTCGTCGTCTTCGTCGAAAGATGGGCAGGAAGGGGGATCACGCGGAGGAGTAGGAGAAGAAGGAGGAGGAGGGAACATGATGCTGATGGCGATACTGTTGATCTTGCTGCTGATCATGATGCTGAACCTGATGCTGATGCTGCTGATGCTGCTGATGATGAGGAGGAATTTGAGGAAGACAAGGAGGATGAACGGAACAAGTATGATGCTGCCGCGGATGGTGATGCTGATTATGATGATGGTGATGATGAGGATGATACTGATTATGATGATGATGACGATGGTGATGGTGATGGTGATGGTGTTGGTGATGGCGATGCTGGTGATGATGATGAGGACGATCAAGCTGATGATGGTGATGACGATGCTGAAGCTGATGATGATGATTATCGTGATGATGATGCTGCTGATGATGATGATGATGATGATGGGGATAAATATGATGCTGCTGCTGCTGATGCTGATGATGATGATGATGATGATGACGATGACGATGCCGCTGACAATGGCGATAATGACGCTGCTGCTGATGATGACGATGACGATGCTGATGTTGCTGCTGCTTCTGATGATGAAGCTGAAGATGAAGATGAAGATGAAGATGATGATGATGATGATGATGATGATGATGATGATGATGATGATGATGAGGATGATGATGATGATGATGAAGAAGAAGAATAAGAAGTTGATGATGATGATGATGATGATGATGATGATGATGATGATGATGATGATGATGATGATGATGATGATGATGATAAGGATGATGCTCAGTACGACTACGACATGATGGTGGTGGTGATGATGGCGATGGTGATGGCGATGGTGATGGTGATGGTAGTGATGATAATGATGATGAGGTTGATGATGCTATTGAGGATGGTGGCGACGGTCATGACGATACTGATGATAGTAAAAATTGTTGTGGTGATGATGCTGATGATGATTGTGGTGATGATGATGAAGAGGATGACACATATGATAATGATGATGATGATGATGATGATGATGATGATGATGATGATGATGATGATGATGATGATGATGATGATAATGATGATGATAATGATGATGATGATGATGATGATGATGATGATGATGATGATGATGATGATGATGATGATGATGTATGATGATGAGGAGGACGGCGATGATGATGATGATGATTATTGTGATGATGATGCTGATGATGATGATGATGATGATGATGATGATGATGATGATGATGGTGATGATGATCATGATGATTCTGATGATTCTGATGACGATGACGGCGACGACGATGATGATACACGGGCTTCGTTGTGGCCTCATTTTCTGCGACGGCAGCGCAATTGCGAACGGCGCGGGAGGCGGGTGTGTGCCCTACTAAGCCCGGTGCGTGGTGGTGGACGAGACGGACGAATGGACCACGATCGCCGAACTCAGCTTCCCGTTATGCGCGAGGGCCACAGTCTAGGCATGTTTGTTGGTGTTGCTGCTGCTGCTGTTGTTGTTGATGATGTTGTTGATGACGATGCTGATGCTGATAATGTTGTTGTAGTTGTTGTTGTTGCTGTTGTTGTTGCTGTTGTTGTTTGTTGTTTGTTGTTTGTTGTTGTTGCTCTTGTTCTGGTTGTGGTTGTTATTGTGGTTGTGGTTGTAGTTGTAGTTGTTGTTGTGGTGGTTGAGTTCTCACATCTAAAGAATAGTTATTGTTATTGTTGATCACCCCTGCCTGGTAAACATTGCATTTTTCAGTTTAAGTGCCTCCCTGTGGGTTTGCACCCTGGTTTTTTAAGGAAAATGAGGTGCCACCAAACTGTTCCCTTTGCCCCCAGTTTACACCAACAACAGCAGCAACAACAACAACAACGGCTCCCGCCTGATACTTCCTCTCCAATTGTTCCCAAATTGCGCTCTCGCGCGGGACGTCCTCACAAATCATACAGGCATCGCGCTCTAGTGTGGGACATCCTCACACTTTATTCAGACGCCGCGCACTCGACACTCAGAATCGTTCTCTCGCTTTGGATTTCCGGACGGTTTATTTGGGAATCGCGTTCTCGCTCGAGACGTCCTCGCGATTCATGCATGTGGCACGCTTCAGCCATCCGCCTGCCCGTTGTCCCTCCTTTCCATCCGTCCTCTCTTCTTCTGCCTTAGGGGCTGCACGAAATGCATGTTGCAGGTAAGAAAGATGGGCGGGTATCGAGGGTTCGGGAGATACATGTTGAAAGGCACGCGAGCAGTCTTAAAGTGATTGTTGGCGAATTCTCACGTCTAAAGAATACTTGTTGTTGATCCCCCCCTCCCCGGTAACCATTTTATTTTTCAATCGAAGTGCTTTTCCGGGGCTCGAACCTTGGTTTTTACAAGGGACAGTGACGTGTCACCAAACAGTGCCCCTGGCCTCCGGTTCACAACAACAACGGCTCCCGCCCGATACTTCCTCACAATTTATTCCCAAATCGCGTTCTCGCGCTGGACTTCCTCACAATATATACAGGAATCGCGCTCTCGCGTGGGACGTCCTCGCAATCTATTCAGACGTCGCGCGCTCGACACTCAGGAATCACGCTCTCGATGTGTTTTTTCTCACGATGTATTTTGGAATCGCGCTATCGCTCGAGACGTCCTCGCGATTCATGCGGGACGCACGCTTCAGCAACTCGCCTGCTCGACCTGCCCGCCTGGGCCCGCCTTCCCGACCCGCCCGTCTGGATTTTCTGCTCTTAGCCCCCCTCCTGCTACTCTCTCTTGTGCTCCATCCCCCTCTCTTCCCCTTATTCCTTTCTTCCATCCGTCCTCTCTTCTTCTGCCTTAGGGGCTGCACGAAATACGCGTTGCAGGTAAGAAATTGTACTCCTGATGGGGGTACGATCGAAGACGAAGAGGACGGGTATCGAGGGTTTGGGATATACGTGTTGAATGGTACGCAAGCAGGTAAGAGCGATCCTGTTGTTGCTGCTGTTGCTGTTGTTGTGGTTGCTGCTGTTATTGCTGTTGTTGTCAGCTTCATCGTCGCCTTTGTCGTTGTTGTTATTGTTGTTGTGGTTGTTGTTGTTGTTGTCGTTGTTGTCGTCGTTGTTGTTGGTTATGATGATGATAATGATGATGATGATGATGATGATGATGATGATGATGATGATGATGATGATGATGATGATGATGATGATGATGATGATGATGATGATGATGACGGTCATGATGGTGATGATGATGGTGAATATGATAATGATGATGCTGCTGGTGGTGGTGATGCTGATGCTCATTCTGATTCTGATCATGCTTCTGATTCTGATGATGCGTCTGCTGATGATGATGCTAAGGAGGACGACGAGTAGGAGGCGGATGAGGAGGAGGAGGAGGAGGAAGAGGAGGAGGAGGAGGAGGAGGAGGAGGAGGAAGAGGAAGAGGAAGATGTGGAGCATGGAGGTGGACGAGGTGGACGAGGAGGAGGAGGGGGAGGAGGAGGAGGGAGGAGGAGGAGGAGGAGGAGGAGGAGGAAGAGCTGGAGTAGGGAGGGAGGGGCCCTCCCTCCCTCTGGGGCGTCCCTCCGCGCGCGGCAGGTTGAGCTGCCGAAGTGGCGCGAGGGCAGGCGCCCCTCGCCGCACGCGCAGCCGGGCGCGCGCGCGCGCGGTGGGCACCGCCGGCCAGGAGGAGGCGGAGGGGGCAGGAGGGACGGAGGAGGGAGGATGCAGGAGGGAGGGAGGGCGGGAGGGAGGCATGGAGGGAAGCAAGGAGGGAGGGATGCTTGGAGGGAGGGAGGGAGGGAGGGAGGAGGCAGGAGGGAGGGAGGGAGGGAGGCATGGATGGAGGGAAGCAAGGAGGGAGGGATGCTTGGAGTGAGGGAGGGAGGGAGGGAGGAGGAGGAGGAGGAGGAGGAGGGCGGGTGGATGTCGGACGAAGACGACGGGGGCGGGTGGAGGGAGGTTTGGGGAGGGGGATGAGGAAGACGATGAGGGACGGTGGTAATGATGAGGGATGATGATGATTATGATGATTATGATACTGATTATGATGATGATGATGGTGACGATGACGATGACGATGATGCTGATGACAACGATGCTGATGATGATGACGATGATGATGATGATGATGGTGGTGGTGGTGGTGATGGTGACGGTGATGATGATCATACTGCCGACGAGGAACACGATGATGGTTTTATTGATGATGATGACCAGGGCGCTGATGCTTTTTATGTTGTTGCTGCTGATGATGATGAGGATGATGATGCGGATTAGGATGCAACTGATGCTGATGATGCTGCCGATGCGTATGGTGATGATGGCGATATCGATGCCGATGTCGATGATGATGCTGATGACGTTGATGCTGCTGATGATGATGACGATGCTGATGATGATGCTTTAAATGATGATGATGATGGTGATGATCTTGATACATATGATTACGATTCGGATATGGATGATGATGATGATGATGACTATGATGATGCTAATGATTCATGATGATGGTGATGATGTTGACACTTATGACGATGATGATGCTGATGAGGACAATGATGATGTGGACATGGACGCTGCTGATGTTGTTGCTGTTGATGCTGCAGATGATGCAGATGCCGACGACGATGATGATGCTGATGAGGATGCTTACTCTGATGATGGTGGTGGTGGTGATTATGCTGCGTGGTGGCGGCGATGATGCTGCTGATGATGATTGTGATGATGATGGAGGTGGTGATGATGATGTGAACGATAACGACGATTATGATGATGGTAGTGACGATCATAATGCTGCTGATGATGGTGATGATGATTAGGATGATGCTGCTGCTGATGATGCTGATTCTGATGATGATGATGATGATGATGATGATGATGATGATGATGATGATGATGATGATGATAACGACGACGACGACGATTCCGATTATGATGATGATGTTTATGATGATGATGATGATGATGATGATGATGATGATGATGATGATGATGATGATGATGATGCTGATGCTGATGCTGATGCTGATGATGATGATGATGATGATGATGATGATGATGATGATGATGATGATGATGATGATGATGGTGGTGGTGGTGGTGGTTCAACGCAGGAAAAAACACCCGGACCCGAAACTTAGAGTTTACTAAACGGCCTTGGGCGTTTACTCAACAGCCTTGCCCTGTACGATTCCTTCTGTGAGCGCGTTTACTAAAGGGCTACGCGTGTCGGGTGATTATCATGGGGGTGGATTTTCTGCCCTCCGGTGGTGGTGGTGGTGGTGGTGGTGGTGGTGGTGGTGATGATGATGATGATGATGATGATGATGATGATGATGATGATCGGAGGACGATGAGTTTTGCCTCCCCCCCTCGCCCCCACACGGAAAAACAGAGGCCATGCCATTTTGGAGTATACGACCGCTGGGCCTCGTTCTTCCCGCTTCCTCTCCCTCCCCCCTTTCCTACCTCCTCCTGCTCCTCCTTCTTCTCCCCATCCCTCTTTCCCTGCACCTCTTCTGCTTGTCCTTCCGTCCCGCCTCCTAATCCTTCTTCCCAGCGCACTCCGTCAGCCAAGAGTTTTTTTTGTTAGCAGCCGCAGTCATTCCGACTCCAGTCCGCTCCTCCGTATTTTTCATCTTCCCCTCGTTAGTCATTCTTCTTCTGAACAGAGTGGTAGCCATGTCCAGTCGAATTCCAGACGTGTTGCAGTCGTATTCGCACTATTCACGTCTTGCTGTCGCAGTATGTTCACAGTGTAGTTGCTGCCATATCACGTTTTATCATCGTTATATCAGATGTAGTGTCGAAGACGCCTACGGCGAATCACCGCCGCCCCTCGCCTTTCGGAATCGCCCATGTGGCCGCGCGTTGTGGCAAGAGCTCTGCCAAGCTATCGGGCCATGTGTCCCTCCAGCCGTTGTAGAAACCCTTCGGTGAATACTTGGGGGAGGATGGCGGGGAAGATCAGGGGGAGGAGGAGGAGGAGGAGGAGGAGGAGGAGGAGGAGGAGGAGGAGGAGGAGGAGGAGAGACAGGAGGAGGAGCAGGTACGAGGAGGAGGCGGAGGAGGAGGCGGAGGAGGCGGAGGAGGAGGAGGAGGAGGAGGAGGAGGAGGAGGATAGGAGGAGGAGGAGGAGAAGGAGGAGGAGGAGGAGGAGGAGGATGTGGAGGATATGAGGAGGATGCGAGGAGGAGGAGGAGGAATAATACTAATATCATTCTTCATATTTTTCAATAAATAATCTGAGTATGACGACAAACAAAAATAATACGACGAATAAGAATAACGCTGTAGATGATAATCATTTTAACAATACGGGTACTGGTACTCATAAGAATAAGGCGACTATTATTAGTACGAATTGTAATGATAACACTAATCCGAAGAAGAAGGCGATCACTACTAAGACTAAGACGAACACATACGAATGCTAATAACAATAATAATGAAACACCAATAAGACGAATATTACGAACACTACTACGGATAATTTTGATACTCATTCTATTCATGCGACTACTATTAATATTAAGACTGATAATATTAACACGGGTACGAATCATAATAGTACTAAGCGTTTCAATGATAGCAATAAGGATGATACTAAGACGGAGACGAATACTAATACTATTGTCACGAAGAATACGAAGCAGTATAAATCCTAATACTAAGCATACTAATAATACGAAACAGAGGAGGAGGATGAGGAGGAGGAGGAGGAGGCGGAGGACGAGGAGGAGGAGGATGAGAAGGAGGAGGACGAGGACTGTGCATCTTGGGAGCCTCTGGGAGCACTCTTGGGGCCTCACGGGAGCCTTTTGGAGGCATCTTGGGGGCCTCCTTGGGCCTCTTGGGGGCCTTTGAGGACTTCTTGGGGGCCTTCTTGGCCGTCTTAGGGCGTTCCTGACCCGTCAGACGCCGTCGAAAGTCGTCTTGGGGGCCTCTCTGAACCGACTTGGGGCCCTCTTCGGGCGCTTCAGGGCCGTCTTGGAGACCATCTTGGGCGTCTTGGAGGCATCTTTGGCCGTCTTCGGGCCCCTTGGGGGCCGTCTTGGGGGCCTCTTGGGCCGTCATGGGGTCCTTTGGGGGCCGTCTTGGGGGCCTCTTGGGCCGTCATGGGGCCGTCTTGGAAGCCTCTTGGGCGATCTTGGGGCGACCTTAGGAGCCTCTTGGGCCGTCTGAAGGCCGAAGAGGCGCAAATGACAAATCCGTCAAAACCTGAGGAAAAGCAATGATTTTGCCTCTTCGAGCCTTCCTGGAGGCCTCTTGGAGGCCTCTTGGGCCGTCTTGGAGGCCTTTTGGGGGCCTCTTGGGCCTTCTTGGGCCAGCTGGAGGCTATCTCAGGCCTTCTTGGGTGCATCTTGGGCCGTCTTGGAGGCATCTTGGGGCCATCTTAGCCGTCTTGATCTTGCAGGTCATCTTTAGCCATCTTGACCGTCTTAGAGGCTATCTTGAGCCTTCTCAGAAGACTTTTTTGTGGATGTTGTGCTCGTTTATGGTCCATGGTCCCGTTCGAGTGGCCGGCGGGACGGGCCGAAGTCCCAGGGAGAGTTCTTTCGAAAAATAATCAAAATCATCCCGTCTAGGGTTTAGCACGCCGGGCCCCCTTGTGGCAAGACCACAGGGGGCGGCGGAACTAATGGCCTTCGGCCCATCCCACCACCGTGCCTGGGTTGTGGGTTAGAGGTCTCTTGGATGTTCGTTTGCATATCGTGGGAGGCCACTCGGGGGCCTCTTGGAGGCATTTTTGAGGCCTCTTGGGGGCCGTTTGGGGGCTTCTTGGGGCATCTTTTTGGGCCCCTTGCGGGCCTCGTGGGGCCCCTCTTGGGCTCTCTTTGGGGCCTCTCGGGGCCTCCTGAGGGCCTCTTGGGGCGGAAGGCTCGACTTGTCCGTTCTTGTTCCCCCTCTTGGGCCTGTCTTGGGGCCGTCTTGGGGCCCTCCTGGGCCATCTTGGGCGCCTCTTGGGCCGTTTTGGGGTCCTCTTGAGCCGTCTTGGGTCCCTATCGTGGGCCTTCTGGGCCCTCTTGAAGCGGTTTTGAGGGCCTCTGACACCATCTTGGAGCGTCGGAAGCCCGAAAACGCGCGAAGCGAAATACATCGAACAACACAAGGAACATCATTGATTTTTGTCTCTTTGGGCTTTCTTGGGGGTCATCTTGGAGCGCTCTTGGGCTGTCTTGGAGGCTTCTTGGACTCTTGGGCACTTTCTTGCGGATTAAGTCTGATGTTGTAGCTTCAGTGGGATCCGTTCAGAGTTCTGGCTCTGCTATGGCTTTACCAGAGCTGTAGCTGCAGTAGGGTTTCATCAGGGGTCGTTAGGATATGTAGCTGTAATATAGTTCTATCAGACTGGAGTTTATAATTGAAGTGTAATCGAGGCGACTGCACGTTGCAGTACCGTTAATATGAATTCAAGGTAAATTGTATCAGGATTCCGATCGCATTGCAGCCGTAGTCTGATTGTGTTAGAATTGAAGCTCCAGTTGGATTTGATGTGTGTTGCAGCCGGTGTGCGATTCCATTGTAGTTGTAGCTCCGGTGGGTGTCGCTGCTCTAGCAGGGTCCTGATCGAGTTGCAGCCGTAGAAGGAATGTATTCGAGTTGAGATTGCAGTGCGACTTGACAGAGTTGCAGCCGTTGTGCGATTCAATTGTAGTCGGACCTCCTTTGAAAGCGTATTCAAGTTCTTGCCTTGGCAACGTTCTATCACAGCTGTTGCTGTAATAGGGGTCACAGTGTTATAGATCTAGTAGAAGCACGCGGTATACGTAGGCGTCATGTGAGTGTGGATCCCATGCTGTTTTACGACAATCAGATTCACAGAGTCTCAGCTGTAGTATGGTTCTTTCAGAGTTGTAGCCGTAGTGAGCTTACAGCAGCAGTGTAGCCAGGTCTAGCAGGATTTTGATCGAACCGTAGGCAACCATAGTATCATCCGAGCAAAGTCGTAGCGAGCTCGAGTCGGAAACTGTTCGTGTTGCAGCCGTAGATGAAGAACATTGCAGCCGTAGTCTTTTGTGTATAGACGTGACCTTCTTCCTCGTGGACTTGGATGTATCCACACATCTATATATATATATATATATATATATTTGGATCCCATTTGAGCCGCTGCTCTGTAAAAGTTCTGTGGCGCCTCCTCACTACGCGGCGAGAGGCGGGGGCCGAGCCGGGTGCTCGCCGAGGCAGTCGCCCGGCTTTCTCGTAGTTCGGAACGGCGGGGGGACCTGGCATCACCCCCAACATGTTTTTTCGTGGTGATCCCAGGTTCCCCATGCAGCTCCTGGGCGCCGCGCGCCACGACAGAGAGATGTAGAGGGCGAGCAAGAGAGAAACCTAGAGGGAGAGAGAGAGAGAGAGAGAGAGAGGGAGAAAGATAGAGAGAGAGAGAGAGCGAGCGAGATGGATCCATGGACGGATGGATGGATGCTTCGCTGCCCGCGCTGGTGCGGGGGTGCGTGGCCTGGGGCGCGTGGGTGCATGCTCCCTGTCCGCCCCTTTCCGATGGGGCCGCGCCGCGCCCTTCCCCGAGTTCGGCCGTCCTGCCTCGCGCTCGCGGCGAGCGGGCCGGCGGGAACAAGAAAGGCTTGCGGGAACGCGTCCGCTCGACTTGTGCCCTGGCCCGCACTTGCTATGGTGTGCCTCGCGCTGCCCGTGCCCACCTTGCCCCTGCGGCCGTGCCGCGACGTATCTCGCAGGCCCTTGCCCCTGGGTTCTCGCCAGCTCGCCGGCGGAGGCTCCAGAGGCCCACGAGGAGCTCTCGGGGCCCCGCCCTGCGGGAGTACCGCCTCCTGCTGCGAGCTTCCACGAGCACCTCGAGGCCAAGGGGCTCGAGGCTGAGCAGCCTAGCAACGGGCGCCCTGGGACCGGGAGGGGGCCCTGACGTTCGGGCCGCTCCTCCAGGTCGGGGGAGACCCCGTCCGCGGCTGCAGCCCGCCGCGGCCATGGGGGGCGCCCTTCTCGATGCTCGTGCGGCGCTCCCTGTGGCAGCGCGACGGCTGCTCGGGGTGTTCGGAGGATGCCCAGAGCCCCCTGCGTTGTGAAAGAACACGCGACGGGAGGCTTTTTTTCGCTGCTCTCGGACTCTGGGGGCCCTTGCTGGGCTTCGGGACCGTCAAACGACGACTCCGGATCAAAGCCGGTCCTGAGAAAAAGGGCCCAGACCTTCGGAGCTCGACGTTGAGAGAAACTCACGACGTCGGGTGTTTGGGAAAAAAGGTTGGTCTGATGCGGGACGGGGTCTGGTCCGATCTGTCTCTGAGGGTTCTTGGGGGTCTTAGCGAGAGCTGTCGTGGCTGGTCTGGGGGGGGGGTGAAAGTGCTCGTCTGGGCAGGCTGCGACCCCCGCCCTTTTATAGAGAAGGTCTTGCGGCTGGTGCCGCCGACCCGCAAAACGACGGCGACGACGACGAGGACGAGGAGGGGCGGAGGAGGAGGAGGAGGAGGAGGGAGGAGGAGGAGGAGGAGGAGGAGGAGGAGGAGGAGGAGGAGGAAGAGGAGGAGGAGGAGGAGGAGGAGGAGGAGGAGGAGGAGGAGGAGGAGGAGGAGGATGAGAAGGAGGAGCAGGAGGAGCAGGAGGAGGGGGAGGAGGAGGTGGAGGAGGGGGAGCAGGGGGAGGAGGGGGAGGAAGAGGAAGAGCCGCAGGACCCTTTAGGGACCTCTTGGGGGCCTCTTGGGGATTTCTGGGGGCCTTTTGGAATCTCGCGGGCGTCTTGGGGTGGCAGCTACCCCTCCCTTTTATTGCGAGGTTTGGGATCCACTGCGCGGCGATGGGGCCTCGCATGGCGGGTTCTAGATCGGAGCCTCGCTTTCGGCGCGTCTCCTCGCCCTCGGCGCGGGGAGCCGGCGAAGGGCAAGCGTGGGGCAGGCGGAAGGATTCGGCATGTTTGGCGGAAAGGGAACTGAAGCTGGCGCGCTGCCCATGCTTTCGATGCTCGTTTTGGGGGGCCTTCTGGGGTGCGCCTAATGGACCTGTTAGACTCCGCTTCGATTCAGTTTAGCTTGATTCCAGTTCGACTCAAGTTCGGCTCGAGTTCGATTCAAGTTCGACTCAAGTTCGATTCAGGTTCGATTCAGGTTCGACCCAGTTTCGACTCAGGTTCGACTCGAGTTGACGGACGTTCGGCGCAGCTTTGACGCACGAGCGGAGCGATTGGCTCCAAAAAGGCCCCCACAGTGAGCAACATGCTACTTGGATGGTCTGCAGCTTCGGCAGCGCCCACTGGTCTGAGAATAGTGCTGCGCCGCGAGGCGATTCTTTTGCATCAGGCCCCTTGCAATACATGCAGCCAATCTTAAAGGGTGGAGTCTCGGAAAAAAAAGCAGTTCGGCAGATTCGGCGGCAGGAAATTCGCGAACCGTTCACATTTTTGGGGTTTGCGGGCATCCGTGGCTGCGAGCCCTCCCCCAAATCGGGGGCGGCCAAGAGAGGGGTGATGATTGGGGGGGGGGTGGATGTTATGACAGGGCCATGACATCTCTCCCAGGATCTCATGGCCCCGTCTTATTATTGAAATACATCCATTGGCCGCCCCTCTGGGCCGCGCGCGTGCTTCGGGTCATGATTTACGAGCCCTCGTTTGGACTCTCCCGAGCTTCCCCGAACGCCCGCAAGACGAGCAACAGGAGATGCACCAATCATCCAAGAGGACTGAACTGACCAGGTCAGGGTCTTCTAGCAGGAGAAGGGTGAAGTGCCCAGAACTGTCACGAGGCTAAAGCCCTGAACTTCCAAAGCTAAAGTGTCATCGCAGGTCACATAGTGCCACCAAATCGTGCATGCACAAGAACGCATCGAAATACGAGGGGACAAGTGCCCAGGCCCAGAACCTTTTTGAGCTAAGTACCGTCACAAGGAACCCAAGCCACCAAAACGTGCATGCACACGAACGCATTGAAATACGAGCTGGTGCATTCATTTTTTCGCTATATATATAAGCCAGTCGAGCGAAGGGCCAGCATATCGCACAAAAATAATCACCTGCGTGCCAGTACAGGGCACAACGAGAACTGAACCATCCCACTGGCTGATCTCCAGGCCAGGATACAGCATGTGAGGTGTCTGCGTCTGCCTCAGAAGTGGCCCCAGCACACTGCACTCGGGGCGCAGAGCCAACCCGGCCGAGCGAACAGACGGCAGGTGCAGGTCGCCGTTCCTCCCGTGCGCCCCGGCGGGGTTGCGACGCTCCGCGCACGCCGCGTCTCCCGGGGGCCGGCCCCGCGCTCCGAGATTCAGGAGGGGGAAACACACAGACACAATTAATCGTCGATCCCCAGGAAAATATGGGAAAATATGGGAAGTGGGGGGGAAGACAAAAACCCAGAAAATATAGGGAAATAGGGGGAATCCTTTTATTTGTGTGTATTTCTTTGTGTGTCCCAGGGCCCCTTCAGAGGTACGTCGTCATCAAGTTCCTGGACACGCACAAGGACCAGGCCGCCTCCTCCGCCCCCTGGGCGCGCGCCGCCTTCCCTCCGTGCCCCGGCCGCTGCTCCGCCCCTGCCTCCGCCTCCGCCCCCTATCGCCCTCTGCCTCCTCCTCCTTTCCGCCTCCCTCCTCCGCGCGAGTCCCCGCCGCGGCTCTCCCGCCCCCGCGTCCAGCTTCCCCCGCCCCCACTTCTGCTGCTTTCCTGCCGGCTGCCGCTGCTCCTCCTCTCTCTCTTCCCCCTCTCCTTCCTCGGCCTGCTCCGCTGCCGCCGCCGCTCCTCCGCCCGCGTCCCGCTCCCCGCCCACCCCTATCGTTCTAGCCTTCCCAGACGAGGTCCGAGCAGATGGCGTCGAAGGATCGCGCCGCACCGCCGTTGCATCGCCGATGCATCGTCGATGCATCGGCGACGTCTGCGATGCATCGGCGGCGTCGGCTAGGAGAAAGTCGACGTCCCCGTGGAGCCGCATCGCCGATGCGTCGGCGATGCAGCGCGATCCGCCGACCCCATGTATTCGGACCCCATATTGAAGGCCACCAACCGCATGACCCAGATAATAAAGCATATTCTCTTCCTTCCCACGATCCTCGTGATTATCTCGGCCAAGACAGTTTTGGTCAACGGCGGGGAGCGGCGGGGCCGAAGTTCATTGTCGCTCCTCCTCCTCCTCCTCCTCCTGTTCCTCCTTTCTGTTACGACCTGCTGGGAAAAGTTTCTCATCCCGCAGGAGCCCCGAATTTTCCTATCCCCACCCTGTGATTATCGGGGGCCTAAGGTTGCTCAGGATGGACCTCAAAAAGATTGTAACCTGGGCTTATACTGTTCTGGGATTATTGACAAGGGTTCGTAATGTCTCGCCCGGAACATTATGAACCTGGGTTTAAATGTTTTGGGGATATTGATTGGGGTTCATATTGTTCCCCCCGGAACATTCTAATAATGTTCTGGGGATATCGACCCCAAAAACATATTAACCTGGGTTCATAATGTTCCCAGGATATTGACTGGGGTTTACAATGTCCCGGGAATAATGAACTCGGTTGTCGTTATTCCGGAATGATACGAATTATTATTTTCCCCCCGACCCCCGGTTTCCTCACCAGGTTTTTCATGTCGGAATATTGACCCCGGTTCATTATCTCCAGGAGATAATAAACCCAGATTCATAACGTTCCCGGATTATTGACCCCGGGTCAATTATTCTGGAATGATACTGCTTGATTTTGTGGGGCGCCTTTTGGGGGTACGTTCCGGCCTGAAATAAACCTTAGTTCAGAATGTTGACATATTAAACTTAGGTTGATTAGTCCGGAAAGATAATGAT